GAAATGTTGTAGGCCCGTGTGCTCAGATTTGGGTGCACGTTAAAGAACCCCAGGTGGTCGAAATTTCCGGAGCCCTCCACTACGGCGTCTCTCATAATCATATGGTGGTTTTGGGACGTTAAACCCCAAATATCAATCAATCAACCACAACCTCATGAGCCACGTTTTGTTTGCGGACTGAAAGGTTGTGGTTGTCGCAACCTTTCAAGTCACGTTTTGACTTTCTCTCGGTGTATTTTATCTGTCTTCTGATTATTCGCAGAAATTTTGCCCGTAAAGTCTTGGAATGATTCCAGAATGCGTTTACTCTTGTAGCATTTTGCGAAACTTATTTAAATGCATTCCGACAATGCACAAGCTAAAATTTAAATGTGACGGTTTAATAAACTTTTCTTAAGCAGGTAAATATATACGCTCTTGTAATGAAGATTTAGTATCGAATCGTAATATAAATGATTGAAAGAAACAAATCGGCTCGTGACACCGAATGCAGCATGCAAAAATTTTTCAGTATTAACATGGCGATAAATTGCCGTAAACCAAAAGGGGCTTTGTTGTATACCAAACTTTCTGTAATGACCCACAGGTCGCGGGATCGAATCCAGGCTGCAGCGACCACATTTTCGATGGAGGCGAAAATGGTTGGGGCCGGTTTCTTAATTATAGGTGCACATTAAAGAACCCCAGGTGGTGGAAATTTCTGGAGCCCTCCATTACGGCGTCTGTCATAATCACATCGTTTTTTAAGGTCGTTATACCCTTACCATTATTATTTAAGAAACGTCTTTGGCATATTCAGCAATTCATAGGGACGTAGAAATTTCGTAAGTTCGAAATTTCGAATAGTATACCCTACCACCACCATTTACTTTTTTTCTTTCAGCTACTGTGTTTACAAAATTATCGCTTCTTATCGCGTTATCACTCGTCGGGAAAAACAGTTTGCCGATTACGGAAATACATAAACGTTCTCGGCCCGCAAGATAACCGGCTTTGTCCAAGTCAGATAACAAGCACGCCGCGAATAGTTAACAAACTTCGAGATTCAGTAATCTAGCAACATGTCACTGCTCTGCAACGTGTAAGGATATTTCTATAACTATCCTGCGAACTGGAACCGCGAGATAAGATTTGCGACCGGACTCAGTGCTATCATTGCAGCTATCGTTTCCATTAGTAGGGCACGTCGTTGCAAGGACTTGTTTATCTTGCGTTACGACAAAGCCAATTTTGTCCAAACAAAACGATTCTTGTGTGTCGTTCACGGTCTTCTTGCGTTAGTGTTCGTTTTCGCAGATTTGACCTTGTCATACCGCCGCTATCATCGTACCCTTTGCTGTCACTGCTATGATTGCAGAATGACATATATCTTTTGAAAGCAAAAAAAAAAAAGGCCATTAATGAGATAGCGATACAAGCAAAACAAGAAGCTGAGAAAATAAATAGCCGCTTCCGTTCTGTTCCGTGTTTTGATCCGATGCCCAACCAACGCCTTTGCAGCGCGTTTGCTTGACCGACTGTGTTCAGCAGGGCGCTAGTCAGTTTGCACAGCAAAGCTGAAGTAATCGACTATTCGAAGCCCAAGCACGTCGAGTATGCGGTAAGTCAGGACCCGTGTTCGGAAGTATACATCTTTGTTGAAATTTTTCGGGAAAAAAAAAGTGAATTATAGGCCCGCCTTCACGCCGTATGGTTTTGGCGACGGCGACTAGCCAGCAGTAAAATAAAAATGCCTTGGCGCTTTGTTCCGGATTTTCAAAGATAATCTGTGTGGAGAAAATAGGCATCGTAGATTACTAAAAAAAGATAAAAAGTTTGCGTATTCATTCTTTAAGGTCTACGCTCCTTCTGGCTACTTTCCCATTTTGTCACTGTGACTACGTGGCGATAATATTTTTATGGCGCGCTGTTGATTAAAAGTAAAATGTTTTATTTCAATAATAACCCTTTATATTTTCGAATAGAGGAAAGTGTTTCAAGGATAACTGAAAAATCATTTACCTCGGTAAAAAAAAAGTCTATGTACAAGATGCGCAAGCAGCTTCGATCGAATGACACTGGTCTATCGAATGCTTAATTATCGTTAAACACTTGCTCATTTCACTAATTGATCCTGGCAAGTTGCGCAGAGTCGTCCACATATATAAGTAGTATGGAACGAATTTTACCTGCACTGCTGCTAGAAGCTCGAAATGTGACTCATCTGTCCGCCTGCTTGCGCAACACAATTGTCTTCTAAGCCACTCTATTTATTTGTCTGTGACACCAACATCCGCGTGTGCGAATTCGGCAGACTCCACGTACCTGGGAAACGACGTTATGCGAAGCATGTGGAGGGAAGGTGATCGTGTTGGAAGTGTTTTTATATTGAGGGACTCGACATGAAATGACGTCAAATATACGTACAAATGTTGCAAACACAGACATGTGTTGAGCAGTTCAGATGTGTATGTAACCAGTTGTTCGCACTTTCGCACCGATGCCAACAGCAACATGCGCATTAGCAACGCCAGAAGCTGACATGAAGCGCTCATGCTCGTGACGACGCTGGCCCTGGACACTCCTACATAAATCGACTTCAGCGCATTGCAACGAACCACAATGGACGCTAACCCTCCGTGATTGCTGTATTATAGAAGTACATAAGCAATGTTTATAAATGTGAATAGGCAGCACTGCAACCACTATTGCCGTTTTCGCCGTTTCACGAAGATTACAGTGTCTACTTGAAAAGTAGTTCCGAGACCTGGCGTAGCTCTGTGGTAAAATGCTTCATTGCCACGCAGAATACTTGGGTTTGGTTCCTGCTGGGACCCTGACATTTATTCTTTGCGTTCATTAGGTCGACGCTACCGATGTCGGATATTTCTGAATGCTCGTGCGTTAAAAGTGACCACGTGTTTGACACTTAGTACCTACCCAGAAACGACGAGAACAATGACCTGCGGCACATGCCCTCCCGCGGGTATGTGCCACTGTCTGGCGGGAAGTGTTTGACGACATATGAGACGAGATTGTGACATTATTCATGTCTTGACCAGTGCGTCATATACGCGTCAGTCCGTCTTACTCTCTCTCCCGTGCTAATTTCGGTTCCCGCCAAGTTAAGGGGGTGACCATGAGAGCACCCAAACGTAAGCGGCTAGATAGATAGATGGCTAGATAGATGGCTAGATAGATAGATAGATAGATAGGTAGATAGATAGATAGATAGATAGATAGATAGATAGATAGATAGATAGATGGCTAGATAGATGGCTAGATAGATTGCTAGATAGATAGATAGATAGATAGATAGATAGATAGATAGATAGATAGATAGATAGATGGATATATGGATGGATAGATAGATATATGGATGGATAGATAGATGGATGGATATATGGATATCTGGATGGATAGATAGATAGATGGATGGATATATGGATGGATAGATAGATGGATGAATATATGGATAGATAGATAGATAGATAGATAGATAGATAGATAGATAGATGTATATATGGATATATGGATATATGGATGGATAGATAGATATATGGATGGATAGATAGATGCATGGATATATGGATATCTGGATGGATAGATAGATAGATGGATGGATATATGGATGGATAGATAGATGGATGAATATATGGATAGATAGATAGATAGATAGATGAATGGATATATGCATGGATAGATAGATATATGGATGGATATATGGATGGATAGATAGATGAATGGATATATGCATGGATAGATGGATATATGGATATATGGATGGATAGATAGATATATGGATGGATATATGGATATATGGATGGATAGATAGATGGATGGATATATGGATGGATAGATAGATAGATAGATATATGGATATATGAATGGATAGATAGATATATGGATGGATAGATAGATGGATGGATATATGGATATATGGACGGATAGATAGATATATGGATGGATAGATAGATAGATAGATAGATAGATAGATAGCTAGATAGTAGATAGATAGATAGATAGATAGATTAGATAGATAGATAGATAGATAGATAGATAGATAGATAGATAGATAGATAGATAGATAGATAGATAGATAGATAGATAGATAGATAGATAGATAGATGGATGGATATATGGATGGATGGATATATGGATGGATAGATAGATATATGGATGGATGGATATATGCATGGATATATGGATGGATGGATGGATATATGGATGGATGGATGGATTAGGATGGATGGATGGATATATGGATGGATGGATGGATATATGGATGCATGGATGGATAGATAGATAGATAAATAGATAGATAGATAGATAGATAGATAGATAGATAGATAGATAGATAGATAGATAGATAGATATGCTCAAAGTCACCGAAGTTGGCTAAGAAATGCTTCGCATTTAAAAGCTAAGCCGCACGCGCGACTGGACACAGCACCGACTATCAGCCAAAATTCTCATTCAAAAAATGCCAAACTTCCGCCCCTGAACGTGTTAATACATCGTGACGCACATGCTTGCTGAAATGGCATACACTGTACACGAAAAACGTGAACAAACATTTCTACGAGCCACTTTTTTTTCCTGCTCGCCCTAAATCAAGAAGCGCCATCTAGGTGTCACAGGGGGTGATAGAGGACCAACTTATGCACTCGTCTTCGTTCTTTTTTTACGTAGAATGCTTCTACGATTCCTGTATATAAGTTATACACGTGCGTTTAAACAAAAAAAAAACAGTTGCTTTGTCGAACAGGGGACGCCATTTGTATACAGTGCGCCGTTTGCGCGCCTTCACTCTTTGCTGCCACGTTTTAGCGTCGCTGCAACATAACGAATACCGGCTATAAAGAACTCGCTTATCGTGTCGATGCTACTTCGTCATGACGAGGTTCGGCTGTATTTTATTATCGGCGTAAGCCTTGCCTGAAAGTTCCTTCGTCCGCGCCACCTTTTGTCGTTCACGAAACTACTCGTCACTTCGCAGGTGGCGGTGTGCTCGCGGGATCATGCGGAGACGTCGGCCGGCAGGTCCGGTAGCGCTCGCCCTGGCCGTGCTCCTGCTCCTCGCGATGACGTCACGGACCACACAGGCACGCACTGGAGCGCCCCCTAGGACCACGAGGTATGGCTCGGTTTCGATACGTGACCACTTACCCCCGTATTCACAAAGCTCCTCGACTCGACTTTCACCCTTCACTTGACGTAGTGGAGCACTGCACCGCTGCTCGGCTGAAAATGACGCTGCGCTATTCAAGAATAGCAGCAACTTATCACTGATATGCAGTGACTTGCCATTCCTGGAGATGGCACTCCCATCGGCTTTCTCAAGTGAAGGTGGAGCGTTGAGTGAAGGGGCGTTCCAGAATACGGGGGTTAGGATCTAAGTATGAATGAATAAAAAAAAAAGAGCCGCGAGTAGTTACACATGACGTAACTGCGTTATCCCATAGGATAACAAGTTATATGGAACAATGATTTTTTCTATCTTACGGCAAAAGGCGACCAGGTCAGATGATGCTAGCAAATCCACTTATTTCACAGGTGTTGCTTAGGGGAAAGTTCGAACGGTAGGAAAGCAAGCATGGCGATGGCTGCGTATACCATAAGAATGAAGTGCAATAAAACCGCCTAAAATGTTTTCGCTACTACATGAACTCAACATTTATAAATTAATGCATCATGGAAGAGGAGTTATTTTATATTTACCGTGTTATGATGAAGTTACACCGAGTTACTCATTCCATTGCAATCATTTTTAAATAAAATTGAATAAGTTATGCTTCAAATAAAGTTTCACTCATATTATTTTCAGAACGTAGTTCACAAGAAGAGTAAAAGGAGGGAGTGTATTGCCACAATTTTTCTCGAGGGCATAACTGCTTGGGGGCATCGGAGGGTTCTTTAATAAATGTATATTCGGAAGTATCCACCTCACACGCGTTTAACAAGGCTGTGCTTCGTGGCATTTGTCAACCTCGCGTACCCAAGGAAACGTACTCGGCATCTGCATGATTTTCTTCCTCATTCCTTCCTCATTACCATATAGCAGTAACGGGAACACGTCTTTGAAACCCAAGCGCACGTACGAAAGCATGCTGTCGCTGGCTTTCAAGCAACGCTTTTTCCTTCCGCGTCCAATTGCGGGCATAGTCATGCGGGCAAATACTCCTGTATTGCCAAACCTTGGCAATGCGAGATGTAATTAAAAGGGCTCCTAAATATTCTCCGAAGATACAAAGATGGAGCGCATGCAACCGTTCCTCGACTTTCCGGCTCATCTTGTGACTTCAGTCCGTTCGCGTGACGTCATGAGGAAATAGGCTCTAGATTGGTCCATATAGGAGGGATAACGGTTGTGAATTGTCTCCTACCTTGCTTTGCCACGTAGTCGCTTGTCCGCTAATTGTGCCTTGTCTCGCGTGCCTACAGTGCGGGATCAAATGATTTGTTTCACTTCGATGGTGTGTGATCGACTGCGCAAGAAGATGTAACATCGCATGGACAAAAAACCCGAAGTCCTGATAGGTTGAACGGTTATTACTGACACTTTCCACGCGTTTCATGAGAAAAAGTAAGTGGCGAGGCTGTTATGACACTCGTAGGAAGGATAGCGAGGGCGTTTTTTGACTGCAAGTGGTGTTTGGGGGCGCTTTAAAACACGCACCACGTGCCTGGAAATCAGCAATGAATAAGAGGTGTCGTAATGGCAGTTGGTCATGAACAGCAAGTCATGTAACAAACGTGGCATGTGACGTCACACGCAGTGGAAACACTGTAGTGACGTAGCGGAAGTTTGCAAAAGAGCTGTAAATCTGTCCGAGAAGTTTAAAGGAAGTGACCAAAATTTCTCGCGCTTAGTTAGCGTGAGATCACCAGTTATTTTGCCAATTTCATAAGCATGCATTTTGCTGTATCAAGAATACATCGTTGTTGTCTTCTCACATGTCTCCCAGAGGTCGCCACAATCATCAGATGACTGAGCAGCAGCGACACGGCGGCCATCAGGGCCAGGACTCGAAGCCACCACTACTGCTTCGACCTCTGCCGTCGGACGACCTTCCGGTGATCGATCTGGTCGAGCCCGTCGGTCACTTGTACGACCCGGGGCCCGATGACCTCGACCCGGTGAAACTGCAGAGGATTCTGGCGGGACACTTCGACCCGAAGTTCATGGCCGTGCAGAGGCCGAAGGAGAGCTACCTCCATCCCAACGGTAAATAATCGGATCTGTAACTTTTCTGTACCGGATGCTCACAGTTAAACTTCAAGGCCTACTGACAATTCAGCCCCTAGCAATAACGTGAGAACCATCTTTGGCAGATAAGTTGTTTGTAAGGGGACACGAAGTGAGAAAGTGATCATCCCTGTCAGCCTCCGGTGAAGGTGTTTCTACCCCATGTCGCGAACAGTCATTAATTGCTATCGGCAGCCAGAAATGGGAGGGTGACCGTTATATAAGGTTTGGCTATGCCTTCGACCCGTGGTCAGATCGAACGCAGCACGCATGCAACTGCCGTGGTACATCGGTGAGTAGGTTTGCGTAATCATGCGAAACGCCAACTTTGCTGCGGGATACCTTGAAACAAGCCATGCTAGAAGAGTTCTCCCAAGTGCGACAGGGCAGAAACACGACTGGCTCCAGCTGTTTAGCACATACACGCCCGCCTATTGCCGTCGCCAAAGGTTTCACTCGTTTTTCTATTTTGAAAGTTGCCTAAAGGCCTATGAAGTTAACAATATAAATTGAGGTATGTTTCTGCGATATACTACAACTATATGGCCGGGCCTAATAGACCCACGTTTCGTGGTCCAGTGGTTTCTTCGTATGAAGGCCCATTGTTTTCAGAATTTCCATTCCTTATTAGTAAATTGGGCGTCGTGCAGCGTTGACTATTGTCTCACTTTTTGTATTCCTGGATGCAACTGGCAAAGGTGGTCGTAATCTACTTCCCAGTTTTGAATTATTAGAAAACCATAAAGCCTAATTTTGAACACCCTGTATAACCCGATCACTAGTTAAGCTGCAAGTAGAGTCAAATGTACGCCCGTAGACTACATGTTGCAGACTTCTTTCCTGTTCCTTTTTCCATCCACAACCTATATCAATGAATCCTTCCGACTATAGGCAGAATCATCGCCTTTACTCGCATGCTGTTGGCATCTACACGTGAAAGAACTGGCTCATGTCGGCTCTTGTTGACTAAAGATGGATGTCAAGAACCGGCGCGATCCGGCAGCGGGGGGCAGCATGCCCAGCGTTAAGGATTATTGTATGGACACATGAGTGTGTCTATGTGTGTGTGTGTTTTTTTTTTCTCCTGCGTGCGCATGCGTTCCTTTTCTCCTGTTTTTCTCTCGCTCCCTCCTTGCACCACATTTCTTCCCCCTATCATAACCCACCCCAGTGCAGGGTAGCAAACGAGATGCTAATATCTGGTTAACCTCCCGGCCTTCCTCTTCCCCCCTCTGTCCCCACTGCTTGTTTCTGGCACTGACCTGATGTGCGTGTTCTACTTGCACGTATACCTTGAATGTTCGTTCGAACTTTCAAACTTCGCTGTGTTGGGACGAAACAATGTTGCAAGGTTTAATGTTGAAAGATTTCACGCGTGCCACGTGGACAATCGCTCCGAGGTTCAACTTTTTTGCAGGCTTCCCACGCACCACAGTAATACATAATGACAAAACTTACCCGCTTGATAACCTGCCCGATACGCTCTCGCAACAAAACACGGCCCTCGTTCGCAACGACCCTAGTCGTAAGTGCTGTTTACAGTTTCAGTTAGGTACGACATCCCATTCGGATAGTCAGTGGTCTTTCGATGAGACGTTAATCTATATGGTTGCGGTCCAGTGGTTATGGCGCTTAGCTACTGAATCGAAGGTCGAGGGACGACACCCGGGCTTCGGCGGCTCCATTTTGGTAGTGGTAAAATGTTTGAGGCCCGTGTATTGAGATATAGCTGCGCGTCAAAGAGCGCCAGCAGGTCAAACATTTCGGAGCCTTCGACTACGGCGTCTCTCAAACGCGTATCGTGGTATTGCGACGTAAAATAGCCAGAAGTAATCCTTAACGTGGCCAAGAACTGACCAAACGACAATGAAGAAAAAAAAAAGACCCACGGAGGGTCATTTCGTTAGTTGTCCTTTCACCATGGCTGTTCCTAGCAGCACGGACAGTCGTGAAGCCGTATAAACCAGCATTCATTGCAGCTTTACCTTAATTAGGTAATCTTATAACGATTACACATTTCCTTTGAAACAGGCATTATTATTATTATTATTATTGTTGTTGTTGTTGTTGTTGTTGTTGTTGTTGTTGTTGTTGTTGTTGTTGTTGTTGTTGTTTGGTGAATGTACATAACAAAACACGAAGACACAGAGGAGTGAAATGCAGTAGATAAGAAAAACAGAGATAGAACCGGAGAGTAAGAAAAAGGAAAAAAAATCACGCGAACACAAATAAATAGTCACATGAAAAATGTCCGTAAATGCAGGAACACTCAAGCCAGGTTTCCGGCTACGGAAAGGTCGCCTGGTGCCCGCCAGGCCGATGCCGGTAGAGCTGCAGAAAATCCGGCTCAAGAACATCGACCTTCCCGGAGGGCTTCGGGTGCGGCTGAACATGGGCCGTAGGCTGAGGCGCAAGATGCGACAGCTCCTCTGGACATACACCTACTGTCCGCTCGTGTACCGCTGGAAGGACCTGGGCCTGCGGTTCTGGCCCCGCTGGATACGGGAAGGCCGTTGCTACAAGAGCCGCCGCTCGTGCTCCTTCCCGCCCGGAATGTCGTGTCGCGAGAAGAGCTCCACCGAGAAGACGGTGCTCCGCTGGCACTGCCGGGACTGGACGCAGAAACGCCAATGCCGATGGATACCGGCCACCATGTCCATACTCGTCGAGTGCTCCTGCTCGTGTTGAAGTGCCGCGCTTTGAATGTGCCACGTCCCAGTGCCCAGTGAACGTCTCGGTATAGCAGCAGACGCTCTGTCATGCATACTGTTGCTACAAACTTTCTATGTCTAGCATGTTTACTGTGGGGGCCCTGTCGGGACGTGAGACTTTGAAAGATGCGTGTGCGTGAGACAACTTGAAGAGTTCCCGCTTCTCAAGGTGGGTAATATCGTGGAATGACGTGACCCGGACACGCCAGAAAAAGCCTGCAAGCCACGTCATTTTTGTCCGCTTTGGAGGCTGCTCGCTGCTCGAGGTAGTCGAGTGTTTGACAACCGCGATCTATAGGCGTATGGTATAGCTGGAAGTCGCGAGACCTTGCGCAGCTGGAAGGTGCTGCGCTGTTCCTGGAAGTAAACGTTTGCGAACCGCGTGACAGGGGCGAGCGTGACATCAGTGAAAGTTGACACTTGGCGTCAGATGTACAGGCACTCGTGAACTTTAACCTCAACTCTACAATGTCGCCGTTAAGCACGGATGATAAGCGCACGACCTGAACTTGAAGCGATGTATTGAGAAGAGTGTGATTCAGTGTCTGCGTGTGTCTTCAATTGTGCACTGCCCACCACACCTGTTTGTGAACAATAGAGAACATTTGCGTCAGTGCTAGTGTATTTTAACCACATATAACGAGTGTCACTCTCTGAACTAAGACACCAGAACTAGAGCAATGACAACTGAATGTTCTAGAAAATCAGAAGGGTCTTCGACAGAGTGAAGTCGCATCGCAGCCTCGTCGTTGGCCGAGAAGAAACTGTGTGTGTCTACTTCAATATACCATGCACTTGCAACGCTGGACAAGCAACGATTATTAATTCTGGACTGCACGTGTCCCAACTGTTGGCAATGTGATGGCCTGGTTGCCTTTCTGCACTGGCGTGTGTGACGCTAAGTTAGTGTTGTGACCACTGTCGTGCACATGGATTTTCTATTGAGCCGTTTATCGTGGTGAGCCCATGGATCCGACGTGCTTGCTATAAATGTGTACGAAATGGTCACGAGGAACAATCATCCCGCAGCTCGTTCATCGTGAACTGTGCCAAACACCATGGAAATCTCTGCCCTGCAAATGTGTAACAATGGGGGCATGCAACTTCAAACAAGGCTTAAAACCCACCCATGTTTTTTTTTCTTTTTAGGGGGAGGGGGAGGGTTTTGTTTTGGCAAAGACTGCGAACGGTGACCCTATTGATTTCACGGCAGTGTCACTCACCGAAACTTCAGGACTTAATGTGTGAAGGAACAGTGACTTGTGACAGTGCCTGTGTCAGTGTTGTTGTCATGTCTGGATAAAAGTACGCCAGCGGTGAGTTCAGTTGAAAGTAGCTTCACAAGTATGCTCTGTTCTAAGAAAAAGAGCTGTGGCCCTGACAGGACCAATAACTTAATGCTCATCCCCTCTGAGCTGATTCAAAAGGCCAGGAAGGTTCAGCAAATAAACTAAGTAGCGTTCTGCCCCCTCCTGTAGTTGTGTACCTTAGGCTTGTCTCACGTACCCGAAGTTCACGTTTTATATTCTACGTGATTGTAAGAAGCTGGTCTTGTAGAAATATTGTGTAATACAGTAGATCCGCTGAGGGGTTTTTTTTTTTTTGCTGTGCTTAGCTCGGGACATGACGATCCTGATCTCTTGACATGCTCATCAGCAAAGAATAACTCTTTGGTGTTTTTTTTCCTCCACATGAAAACTATTACAAATATAAAGTACTTTTGAAAACCGTGAACGCATTGCTTGTGTACGTGCATCAGTGTCATCAGTGTTCTTCATGTGCTTTGAAATGGTCTGCTCCTCAGCTTCTTGGTATGGTCACATGCATTGACGCAGTGTGTTTGTGGAATGAGGAGTGCATAAGCGTGGACAAATGTCTGTTCTGGTAGGTGAAAGGGTTAGGCTTGCAAGGGGACTGTCACAGCTGTTCGCAGAAAACTACTCGACAAGTACAGTGGGACCGAGTCACTGACAATTTGAGCTTATGGACGTCAATTAAAGAGGAATAGAATAAGAGTCTTACTCAATTCTGACTCGAAGACGTGGTTTTTCGACTCTGTTTGAAAGTTGAGGCATCATAGGTGATCTCCAGTGCGTTGAGACTACAAAAGCAACATATTCAGTAGGAAGAAAAATTTTAAATTTTTTAGGCACTTCTGCACTCGAAGGAGCCATAGGCCTAGCCTTCACATTTCACCTTTCAGGTGAATGGCACTTACGAAAGGAAACGCAAAACTGTGATTTGCTTATAATGAGCACCATCGGAGTGTCAGTTGTTCAAGTTTCAACACGAGTGTGTACAGCTTCTCTACTAGCATATACACCGGCATGTGTCGTTACCGCGTGCAATGACCAACCCACTTCGTGTGATTTCTCGCCCCCGTCGAAACTCGAACGATATCTCACATGTGAGAGGTCAAAGTTCGTACGCTTATTAACTCACAGTACGCAGTGACAACAGTGTTCCTGTTGGTAAAGCTTCCGTTCCAGTCCATTACCTTAACGGATCGGTTTCGGTTCTGATGTTCACTGGAACATAACACCATGGAAAAGGTATACTTGCCAGCCGAGTAAAAATGTGGATGAAGCTTGCTAAAGAGATAACTTACAGTCTTCATTGCTTGATTTTTAACTACCATGAGCCAATTTAATTCTGGCATTGACAGGACCAGGGACAGGCCCCGATGGCCTGGTCAGAAGCTGCTAGTCGTGGCACTATATCGGTTTACGCATACCATGGCAGACATGTTAAAAGTACAGCGTTGAAGACGCACGGGCTCTGCCACACACAACTTATACAAGATCAGTTGAATTATCAACTGTATTTCACTTTTAGACGGCGTCTTGTGTGGGTTGTACGTTCTCATCCTCAGGTTTACTATGAGATATAGGTATACTTTGATTGTGTTTAACAACTGTTTAGTTTTGTAGTCGAGCACGAATGAACTACTCACGAGGTTTCACCTATCAAATGCTGTACTTGAATGTCGTATAGCAAGCGAAGAGCTGTACATACAGTTCAATAGCTGGCGCTTAGCTGCATTACATGTGTTACCACACGACCCCAGTGCAATTTATCACTACCTCTATTTAAAGTCCCATATTTTTGTCGAAGCATAAGAGTGTTGTCTTCCAGTTTTCGTGGTTACATTCATGCTAGTTGTTTTCCGAGTTCCTTGTACATTTCACGTGTGCCATCTTTCACCTTGGCAGGGTATCCTGCTTACCGCGATGCCATATAAGTTACATGTGGTTGTACCCGTTATTTATGAGCATATAGTGTACTAGTTGATAACCTGGCTGCGCAGGCGCTTAGAAGTTCTCTCTCTTGGCTTTCGTGAATACGACGGACACCGAAAGTCACGTATACACGAGCCAAGGGTGCCGTCAGATTATACCAGGGTTGACGCGCAGTTGGCCATACTGAGTGTTGTGCCATTTGTACGTTGACCCTATGAGTGCATGTGAAAAAAAAAAAGATCTAAATGTGCATCGTTGACTTCACTGGTATGAATAAAGTCCTCAAAAGAAAAGAAGCCGTGAAGTTTTTGGAGCTATGCTTTTTAAACGTAAATGTATAGCTTATAGATGACCTACAGACCTCTTGCAGACAACAATGTATTCCTTGCAACTTCTCCGATTCTTGCCTTAAGTGGTCGACTAAGCAAGTTAGAGCTCCCTGCACTTCTGAAAGAACTCATTGCCCCAGAGATGCGTATACTGACTCGCAAACACGTGAGGTCCTAAAAGGAAGCTCATTTACGTCTCCAGAAAACCCACACTTCTCAGAAGACATTGCTAGGCCGATATTGTCTAAATAAATCTTTTTGGTAATGAAGGTGGGCTGTTCCGTCTGAACATTTGGCCGTAACAAGCGAATTGAATGGCAAATGAAGGAAGCCTCACATTGATGCGTTCGTATACTGGGCAGCTCGCGGGAAGAGGCATTTTAGGCTATCCAAGGTGATACCAAGCTGGCCAACACAATTTAAGATGACCAAGAGCCTGTATCAACAAAAAAAGGCTAGAGCCAATGGCGACCCAAGAAAGCTCGATGCACGATTGTTGCTGTAGAATTCTATGAGATCAAGCTAACCAAAATTAACAACTGATAACAGAGCAGCCACCGGCGAAAGTTGATCATTACCTCACCTTGATTAAATAAGAATATGGCGAAATCAATAGGAGCACATGGTACCATGAAGTTAAAATTTACTGTCAAGTGTCGCCTGACCATGACACTATCAGTTCTTCACATTTCATAAGCTGCTTGTAAAAAACCAACGTCACGACAAATCATTCGAAGAAGATGCATTCACGGAAGAAACGACATCACGAAATTCAGGCTCACCATCCCACATTGCTGCCTGCAAGAGGACATTTCAAGCTCTCGATAAGTGATAGCAAATCGGCAAGCGAATATTTCGACATCAACGAAACAGCAGACAGAATAAAGAGACAGCGATCCCAGAAGTGATGGCACCAGATTTGGTCATCGGTTGCCTGACAAAGAAACCAGCCATGGTCCTCCAAAAGCTTATAATCCTCTTTGAAAAAAAGAAAAAACCCGTGCATCGCCTTTATTTTTCTTCTTCTCGCTACTTACGACCGAGGCCTCAAACGAACCGACCAGCGCCCGCTCAAAAAACCGATAGAGGAGTCATACACACGCCACGCAAAAAACTGGCCCCCTTTAAAAGCTCCGGCGTGATCTCTCGGCCACGATCTTCTTTTCTAGATGGCGCGCGGGCGTCATCGTACGCTCCACCGTATACGTTGGTCGTGCCCATCCCCACGCAATTGCGAGCACAGATCCCGCCAGTTCGGCCCAGAGATCGGTACAACCTTCGCCGCCACCACTTTGAGAGAGAAAAAGAAAACAACAACAACAGAGAACACGGAGAAGCAGATACGTGTGGCCCGTGGCCGCCCACGGTCCGATTCGACCACGGAATAAACAAGAAGGTCCCGCAGCGGAGCGCCATCGGAAGAGAGGCGGTCGCACGCTGCTTGCACACCCGGGGATGTGCGTATGGCATGCGCGTACTACATTGCCGTAGCACGCGCAGAAGACACACGGGGATATTCGCTGCCTCGCAAGTCACGTATGACGGGCCACTTGACGAGTGGTAGTTGCCTTGATAATTACGTGGAGCAGCCCTGACCATAAGCGCGCGCTCTTGC